AACAGTAAGCAATGATCATCTCATGGCTGAGCCTGCATTTGAACATGCTGGTTCCATAGGCAACGTATGTGCTATAAATGTTAGCTTGATAAGTAGCATGCTTTCAGGTTAGAAAGTGATGCTTTCAGTAGTTACTAGGGAGAACGTATAAGTAGGTCATCACCTATTCCTGCATATTCTGTAACTGCCCACAGTGCCAGACATCTTGGTCTGACATGAAAGAGTACAGGAATCTTCTTGCTATATTTTAACAACTCAGTCTATTTCCTCCCTCCTCCTAGCCTTCAGAACCACTCTCCCAGTTCCATAAGCAACAACAGCTTTTATTCAGAATATTAACAACAGCCAGAAAACAAATCACATCACACTAAGAGTGATAGGTGACTAAGCTAATTCATTACACTGTAGCAAAACAATGAGAGTTTATTGTTCTGAGTGAACATCTCTGATTATAAGGCTCACTGTCTATCAAGGACTACCATTCATCCAATAAATAACTATGCCACAAAATATATGCTTTTACTGTATGCCTGTTTGTTTAAGCAAACCAGACATACAAATCAACCTACTGGATTTGTAAATGGGGAATTTACCAAGCTATTCACTTGGGCATACAGTTTCCATTTTATAATTTGGGTAAGGGCAAGAAATGACTGTTGTATGTTCATGTGATTTACTGCATGTCAAAAGCCACCTTTTTGCAATATTCAGTCAGTTAAACTACTTGCACATGGTCTGATTTTTCAAAAAGACCTTCAGCTATATACACAAAAAAAAAATATTGTACACCTAAACAAAGCATGCACAAGGCCAGTTACAACATGCACTTGACTAGCCAGATATGCAATTCCAGATTTATGCTTGAAATAAATGTTACTTGTACTGATATAGCAGATTGGCTTTCAACCAGTCTATGGAAATCAAGCCCTAATGATCAAGTTCCTGCTAGGTCAGCCTTTAGAACTTGTATCATAATTATTTCCTGGTTCTGCTCTCCCCTCAGCATCTACATCTATTGGAAAGGAAGGTTGCAACTGCTACAGTACTGTCCATCCAAAAGAATCCTATGCAGTGTATACAAAGAATGGAGAAGGGGCAAGAGCAAGGGCAAGACAGGGAGGAGAGTAGAAAAGAGAGGGGGAGAGAGAGAGATGGGGAGGAGAGGGGGAGAGAGAAATGGGGCAGAGAGAGACTTTTTAAACCTTTACTATACAAGCTAGCCAATCTCCCATCTTGTCAGATCCATTATGAACATCCACCTTGCTCTGAAACAACAAACACAGCCAAAAGCCACGTGAAGGACTCAACACCAAATCTCTTCAAGATGCAAATGTCTGTAAGGATTGCCAACAGCGTCTCCATGTAAAGCTTTCTGCCCTATCCACAAATGAAGGCAACACTGAGGAACTCTGGAAGAGGTATGAAACCACCATCCATCTGGCCTGTGCTGAATCCATTGGTTACACCACCTGTCAACAACAAGATCAGGTCGATGAAAGTGACACTGAGATCCAAGCCCTCCTTGACCAGAAGAGAAAGGCTCCTTCTGCTTGGCAAAATGACACCATCTCAGCAGAACAAAGTGGCATATCAGCTCCTCAAAGCTGAAGCTTAACAGAGAATCCAGAAATCAAAAATCAGTGGTAGCAAGACAAAGCCAAGGAGATCCAGGTCTATGCTAACAAACATGATCTGCATAGATTTTTCCAGGCAACAAAAGCTATCTACAGCCCAATTTCCCATGGCCCTACTTTTTTACAATTACAGGCTGGCTTTACATTCCTCAAAGACAATGAATCTATCCAAGCTAAATGGAAAAAGCACTTCGAGGCATTCTTGAACCATGAGTCAACTGTGATGGATACCACAGCTGAGTCCATCCATCCCGACACTCTGAAAGCAGATCCCTCTCCAATCCTCCTATTCTAGAAGTCTGACATGCCATCAAAGAAACCAAAAACATTAAATCTACTGAACTGGATGCTGAAATCTATAAGGCTGGTGGCAAGGAACTGGTACTGAGACTTCATGAATTTATTCCTCGAATTTGGAATAACAAAGAGATCCCTGGGGGATCTGAGGAATGTCAACATCATGACTATATTCATGAAAGGAGATAAATTTGTGTATGGGAACTATCAAGGTATCACCCTCCTTTCCACAGCAGGGAAAATCCTTGCCCGCATCCTCCTGAACTGTATTCTACCTCTTGCTGAAGAAGTCCTGCCAGAATCCCAGTGTGGTTTCAGACCATCCTGTAGGGCTACTGGCATGATATTTATTGCCTACCAGGTTCAAGACAGGTGTCAGAAACAACTTCAGGACCTATATATGGCCTTCATTGATCATGAAGCCTTGTGGAAAATATTGGCCAGATGTGGATGTCCTAAAAAGGGCATCACGGTCCTGGGACTGTTCAACTATTAGATAACTGCAACCATTCTATGTAGCAGATTGGACATGGATCCATTTGGCATCAGAACTGGGATCAAAGAAGGATCCATCATTGCCCCAACCCTGTTTTCCATTTTTTGACAGTCATCCTACTTCTCATTAAGGACTGCCTTCCTTCCAGAATTGGCACTGAACACTGAATGGATGGAGAGCTCTTCAATCTGGGTTTTTTGCTCAAAGACCAAAGTATTCAAAATAACTACCCTTGACCTTTAATATGCCAACAACTGTGCCATCCTTTGTGCACACTGAATAAAACCTCCAGATCACACTGGATCTTTTCAGAGAAGCCTACCAAACTTTGGGCCTCTCTCTCAGCATCGAGAAGATTGAAGTGCTCTATCAGTCTGCCCCATGCCACAAATGTGACCCCCCCCCACACACACACCAAAATTTGCATTGAAGAAAAAACCCTAAAGGTAGTCGAACATTTGGTAGCCCCATCTCTCAAAGTGAACAGTGCACAGGATCTGATGCACAAGCACCTCCTTCAGGAAACTGTGATTGTGATCTCCAGAAAGACACCAAGATCGAGGGGTACAACGCAGTCATCATCCCCACCCTCCTGTATGAATACAAAATGCGGGTGACCTACCACCGTCATTTCAAGAGCCTGGAGAGGTATCAAGATGCCTCTGGAAAATCCTCCACATTAAATAGGAAGATCACCCCACAGACACCAGCATCCTAGCTAAAGCCAATGTTACCAACATTGGAGTTGGTGATCCTGATCAACTTCATTGGACTGGACACTGTATGTGGACGCTTGACTCAGTTCCCAAAAATGGGTGCTTTGCTCCCAGCTTAGTAATGACCTGAAATCTTCCAGTGACCAAAGGAAACACTACAAGGATATATTGAAAGCATACATCAAGAAAATGGATGCCAACATAGAAAGTTAGGAGAAGCTGGCTGCCAACCCATTCCAATGGTGCCACAACCTCAATCAAGTAGCAGCCAGTTCTGAGATAAAGCATCATGCCTTCGAAGCAGAGAAAGGAAAAGGAAAGAAATCTCAGCCTGCAGTCTACTCTCCTCTGTGAAAAGACCTGCAACTTCTGCAGATGGGTCCATAGCTCAAAGATTGAACTCTCAAGTCATCTGAAGACCCATCAATGAGCTGTGGTAGAGATCATCCTCAAATTGAAGGATTGCCGATGATGACACATGTAGGACCAACTATCCATCTCTTCCTTGCAGAGGGCCCCATCAATGACCCAACATGAGACAAACTGGTTCCTGTTTTGTTGAAAGGTGAAATTTCAAATTCAAATGTGACATGTACCCAGACCAAAAAGCAGAAAAGTTGGAGAGCATCATTGGAGCCAGCCCCTGAAAGCTGGTTTCTGCAGCTTTTAGGCTTGCCATCTTGGCCTGGCCCAGCAGGATTATCAGCCAGGAAGATCACACTCCCCCTGGCTCCTCAGTATGGGACAGTGCAGATGTATACAATTTCAGAAGAGTCCAAGTCCAGCATGCTAAAGAGTGCTGAGGGCAGCAAAGGGGAGCAGTAGCCAGGAGGGAGGGGACAGTTCATGAAAATATGGAAGAGTCTTCTGCACCTGCTCTTCACAGAAAGTACAGGCTGCCAGTGCCACCAGGTTTAAGTGGTGGACATAAGGCAACAGTTCTCTTGGCGATGGGTAGCTTATAAAGGGCGCCCCAGGTTGGACAGGCTTGCTCTGGTGCTGATGCCACTAGGCATCACCTTCAAGTCATCTGAAGGCAGGCAGCAAGGACACAGTCGTGACACACTTTGACTCTCCATGTGTACAGGTCTTTCCCAGATAGGCTCTCAAGGCAGATCCCTCCACTGTTCTTGCTGGGCACAGGAGGGACAGGTGAGTGCTGGGCTTGCCATTCTCACTGATGTCCACAGCTGGAGAAATACAGCAATAGAGGGAGGTTGTCTAGTGAGCTGCCAATGGGGAGGGCTTGTCACAGGCAGAGGTGGGTTTCTAGGGTGGCAAGCACACCCATGGGAAGGACAGCTTTCACTTCAGTCAAAACGTGCAGAGCAAAATGGCCAGCATAGGCCCAGCCAATCAGCCAGAGATTTGGCTGAAAGCCAGGTGGACCAAGCTAAGTTGAAGAGGTGGGTCAGCTTTAAGGTGTGTGGCCAGACCAAGAAAGCAAAGAGGCTTCCAGAGGCTCAGCTCGGCACTCCCTGCTACAAGACCAAGTTTTGCATCAGGGGCTCCTGTACCAGCTTTGGGAATCACCTGCCCTGGCATCTCAGAGGTAAATCTGCCAAGCCTGAAGATGCTGCAGTATAAGGACAGCAGAGTGTCCCAGCGGAGGTGATCGGGATACGACAGGAAAAATTCCCACGGTTTGAGGTCCCCCACCTGACACAAGAAAGCAAGGGCCAGCTGTAGCCAGGGGAAACATTCCCCAACAAAAATCAGGCACTGAAGGCTTGCAGGCAGAAGACAGCCTTGCTGCTTGTCAGTTTTATTAGCATCTGAACTCCCTTGCTGGTGGGTAGGTACAGGATAGCCTGCTGAAGCCAGTGTTGCCTGTTTCAGAAGTCCACAAAATGTTTCTGGAACCTCTTAAGCAGGATCATTTGCAGGTCAAGGATGGCATACCTGTGACATAGAGTATCAGCTGCCAAGTTGTTGATGACAAAGACCCAGACTTGGTAGGAGAGGCTGGGCAGGCACCAGTGCCACCACTATAGTTGTGCCTCAATCTCCTCAAGAAGGCCTTCCCAGTTCCTGGGTAGATACTAGGAGCAGTCACATCATCAGTATGTGCCATCACTGTAAGTTGTATGGAGGAATGGCCAGTGCTTCAGTTCATCAGAGGGTCAGGCCCATCAGGCAGTGCCACGCTGGAGAAGAAGGGAAGGAGAGGGGGAGGGGGCCCCTGTGCATAATGGCCAAGTACAGACATTTGGGGCGTTAGGGGGAAGTTAAATCAATTCAAAATGGCTGCCCGACATCAGGTAAGTCCAGATGGGGGGGACTAGTGGAGAGATCCGCTGCGGGATGGGAAGGAGGCACAACCCAGAAGTGGTCTGCCAGAGGATGGGAGGAAGGTGCAACATCCAGTGAACCTACACCCTCGTCTCTCCCCTTCCCCTCCCCTTACTGAGACTTACTTGCTCAGCTCTTGCAGCAGCAAACAGTAATAAAGGTGGCTGCACCAAGTGGCTTGAGGGATGGGGGTTGAAAGGGTGGCTGGTCAGGGGGAGGAAAGAGGGAGCAAGGGCCAGAGGAGCAAAAAATAGTCCAGTGCAGGGGGTAGAGGGGTGTGAAAAGAGCAGCCCTGGGGCTGGGGCCAGTGACTGGGTTCTCTCAGCCCTGGGGCTGCACAGGGAAAGTGTACAGAAGTTCCATGATCCAGTTTGACCTAAATTGAATAAGTTTGATACTACACAGATCCAAGTTTATCTTAAACTTGCTTCTGCAATTTTTAGACCGGTTTGTGTGCATGGAGCTTCTGTACAGTTACAGGTTTAGACTGATTGTCAGTCACTGAGACACGGTCTGTAAGTGTAAGGTCAGCACCAGAACGAGCTAAGTTTAAATTGGGTGGCCATTTCAAAACCTATTTAACCTCCTGAATGTCTGCACTTGAGACAAAATGTTGAAAAAGCTATATGGACTATGGTGGCAGTGTTAATCAGTTCCACATGCGTTCAGGTTTTATGATCACAAAATATTTGTGTCTGGCCATCACAGAATGCTGAGTTAATTCAAATCCTTGGTTTTGCAAACCTAATTTTGCTGAAATTCTAGCCAGAACATGTGTCACTTCTGAATTTTATCAAATTTTGCACACACATACACCCCAATATTTTTTCGTCTAAGCCTTGTAAATCTCACATGCTGAGGCAAGTTAAGCATGGTCCAGGAAGGTGATGTCAGATATTCTATGGACGCTTCAGCAATCTTTCCTCCTAACCTCTGTTCTCTCCTGTTCAACCCTGATATAACATTAAGTTCAGATCAGAAGTGTCAGGGTTGGATGACTCAATCAGGGTCAGTCAGGCCATGGGGTGGATCTGGAGCACAGAGCCATGTCATTTGGCCAGCAAGGCCAGAAATTTGGCAGCAGCAGAGTTAACTGCCACAGCTCCTAGAGCTCCAGAAGCTGCTGCTCAACCGCCTGCCACATTTCTGGCTCTAAGGACAGCTTTGCAGGCCAGATTATAAAGCTACATGCTCCAAATTCAGACCATGGGCCCAGAAATTTGACAATGGAGTAAGCAGAAGTAGAATTAGTTGCACAGCAATTAACACCGGTATACTCTCTCCACCATCAAATTTCTGATGTCAAAGGCTAGATGATATGGCTGCACTCTGAACTGGGGCTCAGGAACAGATAAATGTTATACTGTGGTAGCTCATACTAGCCAGATGTTATTGAGCCTTACCACTAGGTGACAGAGAAGGAAGTAATAGTCAGCTTTTCTTTAGCTAACTGCTACCTCAGGATGGATGCAGACAAAACTTAAACCACAGTAACTCACACCAGGAGGGTTCCACTCCTCCCACAATTCTCGGTTCTTTCACCTACTGGATGGGGTAATATCATAATGTACAAGTGGCATTCCT